CCTTCCTTCCTTCCTTCCTTCCTTCCTTCCTTCCAGTTGAAGAGCATCTTTAATTTGTAGCTTTCCAATTTCCCTCTTAGGGAAGTATGTTAAACTAAAATATCTTTGTGAAAACCAAAGTAATAGTAGGTAATAGTAGGTAATTCAGCTGGTGCACTTTTTTCTATCTATCCTCTATGACATTAAGGAAAAAAAACTATTCTGAGTTTTTTGTTTCATAACTATGCACTTCTATAAATGAAGAACTCTGGATAGGCTGCTAGCTTCTATATCAAATGCTATATTCCACAATTGTATACAAAATGCATCATGCACATTTTTAGCCCTCCTGACTGGGGTGCCTAAACACTTGTTTAGTCTGGGCATTGTTACTCAGTAAAGCAACCATAACAGCCACAAAGTAAAATATATAACCTTTTATTTTATTTGTATTAATTTATTATTAAATTTGTATGCCACCTATCTCCCCCCAACGGGTGACTCTGGGCAGCTCACAATTAAAATCAGAAACCCCATCAACAGTTAAAAATCCCCCCATAAATAGTTAAATAAATAATCCATTAAAAATCAAATCTAAACAACAAACCCTGTACATTATGCAGAAATGCAGAAAATCTCACTTCAAAGCTACAGTCAGGTAGCCTTACTAAATGTACAAGAAGAATCTTAACAATTCATATATTTATTTTTGTTACACTAAGCATTACATTTCATCTGTTTCACGTATTGCATTTCTATTGCAATGTCCTCTTATGTAAGGGAAAAAACTGCCTGAAGCATGGATACAGAGAAAACATATAGAAGTGGGAGGCAATGATCCCTTGATGATTCTCTCCCACAGAATCTCGGTGTCAGATATGGAAATGACAATCTTATCATAACTCTGAAGTGGGCCTGTAATGGGCTCACAAGTTACAAAAGGTAACGAATATGACTACAAAACTATGCAGCCCAAAGAAAAAGAGCAAAGAGAAAATAGTAACACAGAGGTGAGGCACAAAGATTTATTTTATAAACAATCTTACAGGGCTGGACAGAAGCCATAAGACCTGAAAAATGTCTATCATAATTAGACATTTCAGTAATGTAGCTATAGATGCACCAAGAAGGTCAATTTATTGTAAGAAATTGTACATCTTTGTTCCACCTTACACAATTTGCCAGTGGTAGAATAGGAATAATTTAAGTGGTGATTAAATTTTGATGTTCAATGCTTATTAATGCATGTTGCCTTCTAACAAAGACACTGCATTTCATAAAGTTTAAACAAATTGGTCCCTACAGCTACAAAGGGTTACAAATATTCATTTAAGAGTAACGTCATCTGTTTGGATATGAAAGTATCAATGGAGTCTGACAATGGGATCTCTAGGGGCAGACAAAGCTAAAAATTATAAAGCTCACATACTCTCACAAATGTGCTCCATGCTTATCCTTCACTGAACATCTGTAGAAGACAAATGGCAACTAGGAAAATGCTTTTGTATAAATACTCACTATCAGCTGTCCCGTGGATGATTAACAAATTTTCTTCCTTAAAACCATGAATATTGTGTAATACGCTGGATGCCTTTTGGAAAGGAAAAACATGCACATCTGTGATTGATTTGCATTTCAAATACCCCTGGCACCCCATCCGGATCCGTCGTATATCTTACTCACTTGATAAGCATTTTCTTCCTTAGATGGACTGCCCAGGTATCTTTCTGAAAAGGCAGATGCTGTACATGGGAAATAGGAAAACTTAATAGCTATTAAATTACTTTTGGAGGAGAGTACTAACACGTATGGCCAATTATGTTTAAGCTCTGCCACAGAACCCAGTGGAGATGGGAGGCAAACTATCCTCAGCAGAAAACCAAATCTCCTTGCTTATCATCCACCAGGATCCTGTTTGAAGCACTCTGAAAGACATCCATCTGATCAGCAGGCAAAAGCAACTTGCAGACATCCTCATTACCTCTGGCTGTGAGGTACTGTCACAGGGCAGCCATTTGTGATGCTGTGTGATGTGTTGCTGATGCTTCACCACCAGTGGAAAAGTGCCAAGGGAGCCACCCATTTTAAACACAGGTTTATTTATTTATTTATTGCTAAATCTGGTAGTGCTTCTTAAGTAAAAGCTGAGGCTAAATCACCACCTGAGTGAACTGTCTGCAGCTCATGTTCATATATTATTCAATGTTCATATATTATACAATGTCTCAGCTGCAATAAAGAAAGGGAAAATGAGCTACTTGTGGAACAAATTGAATGATGCAACACACTCACCATACAGTCTCATGTCTGTAATTGGTGCAATCACAGCTCCACACTTGAAAAGCTTTTCGTTGGACTTCAGAATCATTGATGCAATGTATCCTCCATAGCCCTACAAAACAACCTGATGTGAGTTATAATGTGCTCATTATTACCTTGATGAGACTATTCTTTCTAATACATTTCCATAGCTTTTATATCTATTTCTACTTTTTTTTTTTATGCTTCTGTAGGTATAAATCAAAAGTTAAGTGAAAATTTAAAAAAACCGCAGAGGATGCTTTGCTTTAGCATACAATTTTAAGTGGGTCCAAAATACCAAACATGTTACTGAAATGCTTATATTAGAAGGAAGAGAAATTAGCCCTTTTAATCATTTTCATTAATGTAGAGTACTGAAGCTACAATACTCCTGAGGTCAAAGCTGCTGTTGATACGTATATATTTTTTTCATATAATCAGAAATGGGCATGCAGCCCTGAGTCTAATTCCAAACCCTTGTACCAGTGACCAAAATAATCTCTTTCCTTCAGCAGCACATTGGCAGGAAGAACAAAGGAGAAAGTAGAAACGAAAAAAGGATCGCTGAAAAAGTGTTGACCTCAACTATTGTTTTCCTCTTTCTCACTATCAATATATTACCATAGATATGTGAGTGCTACTGAAATAATAACCTTACACCTCTTCTTTTTGATTCAGAGAACTATGATGCTGTTGGGTTGCAAATGATGGCCAATTAAAGTTGTACATGGATATTCAGAGCAGGGTGAGCTTAAGGCAATCTTAAATATGACTAGGACAATCAATTTAAATAGGTGAAGAAACTTGTCTAATTTTTCAACCATTTTGTGAGGAAGAAGCTAATATTTTTCTGTGACTCAGAACATTTCAGACTGAGCAAAGGTGGCAGTTCAGTCACACGTGTGAATGCTCATCTGTTTTTTAATCCTCGTAGAAAATAACTATATAAGTAGAGGTTACAGATAATGCATCCTTCTTTTTTACATATGCCATTCTAAGTGCAAAGAATTTTAGGCAAATAATATGTCAGTGGGATTCTAAGAGACCATTAGTTCTCCATTAGCAAATCAGTTGTGGTAGTCCGATACATATAAAAAAATAAACATCAAGTTCGCCAACTCTAGTAACTGTCTAAAAATGTAAAATATATTTTCTTTTATTTAAATAAGATAGTCTTTTGTAAAATATCCAGTATTGTATATTTCATGTATTAATTCATGAATTAATATTTTGTTATTTATACTGAATATTTTTATACTATTTTACTATAATTTCTAATATTTATAACATCCATTTCTATTTGTAGTTTGTCACCCATTGATGCTCAGTTAAATATAAGTATGGAACATATTTTATCATATTTTATATTTATAATGCTTTTATTAATACAAAGAAATTACAAAATAAATTATTAATTATAATTTAAAATTGATATGGCTATGGCCAGAAGTAGGTTTTTCAAAAAATAAATGCCATCTTTTTTTCCCTCAATTCCTACTAAAAATAATAGGAGTAGTAATAGTAATAAATTTGTTTTCAATGTGGATATTTTCCCCTTACAATAATAATAAATATGCGTAGAAATAAAGTAATTCTGTGCACAGTAAAAAATATTTTTCTAAAAGATCTTTGAGTTCTGGTATTGGCAGAATCTAATTTGATCTGAAGTAAGAAATTTCTAACTCATGTAGAATCAAGGAATTATGAAGTTGTAAAATAATTTATAATTTCATTTTTTAAAAACGAGTTATTATTGATAGGATGATGCAAGTTTCCTTTTTATTCATTAAATGACGTAAGTGCTCACCATTTTCTAGTTTCTGGATAATTCTTTATCCAGAAAGAAAAACAAAATGAGAATGGATTAAAAAAAAAAAAAAAAGGCCAATGGCCAGAAGAGAATATAGGCAGAGATAAAGAATTAGGGAATCAGGATGTGGGGTCAAGTGTAGTAGACGGGAATGGAGAACAACAACTCTTCCTTCTCCACTTTTAGTTACCCATTGTTAAGTTCCCAAAAAGTTGTATGTGCTTTCTTAGAATGCTATAAATAGTGGTTAAATATCCAATGTATTTTCTACTAAGAATCAGGGATTAGTAAAAGAAAAAAATGCTAAAGATTTCTATGGGACAACTATGATCCTAACTACTTTATGTCACATTTCTAGTACACTTATGCTTTAATTATGCATCTGCTTTCTATATAATATAGGGTTAAGTCCATCTGATTTTTTTTAAAAAGGATTATTTCTACTGATACATTAAAAAGGGCTGCAATATACTGTACAGTGAGCCTTTGTAACATCTTGCCTGATGAAGAGCTTTCAACAAAAAATTGCATACTGTTTGGTATCGTGTTAGTTGGTCCTAACAAAGGTATTACCTTCCTATGGATTTTGGAATTTTCCCAAGAACAACACTGCTGATTGATTTTTTTTTTTCTACCACAGTAGTTATCTTTTTTTGTACACAGTAATTTGTAGCTGAAATCTGAAAATTAAGGCTACAATCTTATGCTCACTCTTCTGGCAGAAAGACTGACCTCAGTGAGACTTAGGGTTGAATATATACTGTAAAGAATATTCAACGCAAAGGGATATCTTAGGTGAAATTGTCACATATTTGGAAATGTATACACAAACCATCAGTAATGACTGAAGGTCACTGGTGAATACTAGAATTAATAAGCTTCATTTGAAACTGAATGTGATGACTTCTGTTTGTGTCTGGGCAGGTGGGGTAATGGGGTGGAGAAAGAATGAGAACAAGAGAGTTGTATTCACTGTAAGAGTTGCAACAAAGGACGACATAAATGGTAGATGACTTAGAAAAGTCCCCCCCTCCCCTTTCAACTAAAAGAAGCAAACATCAGCATCTGAAAACTTGGTGGTAAAAGTTGAAAAGCTGAGATACAGTGACACAGCAATAAGAATCTTTTTGCTAAAGGTGAAACCGTTTGTCTGGCTCATCTATTTATTGCCAGAGGCAACAGCATCCAGCAATATCCTGCACAGATGGAACAAAAAGGGGGTTACTTAGAGCACAATAGGCTGTAAATGACTAGGCATGTAAAAGGTGAATTTAAAAGGACACTATGAAATTAAGAGCAAAATACTTCTACATTTTTCCAAGCAGTTAAATTTTGTACAAGAAGATCAGAGTAAATGTAACTGCACAAATCCTCGGTAATGGAGCTGTGAAGAGAGAGAGTTTCAAAGGGCGAAGTGTGATAATGGGTGCACATAGCTGTGGACCCCTTAAGCACCTCAGCTCTAAAGATGCTGTGTCTCTGGAGGATGGCTGCTTGATCTAGGAAAAGGTGCAGCAGCTTTAAGGTATCCCTGACAGGTGCTGCCTGTACACACATACACAGTCTGAACTGCATTTGCCCTTCAAATTTGCACTGGGTGCCAAGAGTTATATGTTGTGGGTTTCTAAGTGTTTTTAATATTTGTAAGCATCTTCACAATTTGGCTGAAATATTTTGTTTTTATTCATTTATTTATGATATTTCTTGGCCACCCAACATCCATATGACTCTGGGTAGCTTCACAGTTTATGAATGCAATAAAATATAAAACAATACAAAACAAAGCATGAAACATACAGGTAGTCCTTGGCTTATGTTGGCAAATGGGACAAGAGTTGCCATTACTAAGCGACACAGTCGTAAAGCGCAAGTTCATGGGACCATGTCAGTTAGCGATGGCAATTCCAGCAGTCCCAGTTGCCATCATTAAGTGAGGACTGCGTGGGTCGTTAAGCGAGGACCTTACGTGACTCTGACTTCTTAGTTCCTGCTGGCTTCCCCACCGGCTTTGCATGTGGGGAATGTTGGAAATTGCAATCACGTGACCATGGGGATGCCGCAATGGCTGGAACTATGAGGATGTGTTGAATGAACATGCCATTCATTCAGCACCATCACAACTGAACGAATAATCATAACCTAAGGACTACATGTCATAGACATGGGGAGGGAAGCCACCAAAAGACACAACTTAATTCCACTGCACCCACCATTAAAGGGAACCCTCTCAACCCATCTAGCCCCAGGCCTGGGGACACAACCAAATTTTCAAAGATTGCCTGAAGGGAGGCAAGGTGGTGGGCATACAGATCTCTGGATGGATGTTGCTCCAAAGGGCAAGTGCCACAATATGGAAGTCTGTTTTCCAGATCTCACTAGATAGCACTGTTTAATTTATGGGATTTGGAACAGGCAGACACCTTTCATAAGAGAGGCGGTTCTTCAGGTAACTAAGTTCTATGCCATGTAGGGTTTATAGGTAATAACCAGCACCTTGAATTGCACCCAGAAGCCAACTGGAAACCAACCAGTAGTGTAGTGAGGCTTGCTCATCACTGCTCATGCCACTGGATTCTGGACCAGCTGTAGTTTCTGGACCAAAAGTATATTACAGTAATCCAATCTCAAGGTGACCACAGCATGAGGGACCATGAGGAGAGCCTCCAGGAATGGGCACAACTGGGACACAAGCTCATCCTGTGCAAAAGCCTTCCTGTCCATAGACATCACCTCTTCTGCACAAGTCCCAAGCAGGGCAGTGTGACCCTACTCAGAGTTACAGATAGAAAATCCCCAGAACTGGGAAGACCAAACATCCAAAGCTACTTGGTCTTGCTAGGGCTGAGCTCCATATTACGCTGGAAGATAGTGTTGAGTGGCATAAATCAGTTTTTTTACTCTAGGCCCTATTTGGTTGGTAAGAGATACCTTAGAGGGCAGTATCAAGATTGAAAGAGATTTTGACAATCTGGAACAATAGGCAGAAACTAGAGAGATGAATTTCAACAGGTACACATGCAAATTCCTACATAAGAAAAAAAGCAAAAGCAAAAGTGTAGGATGGAGGGGACCATACTAAACAGAAGTTCATGTAAAAAGGATCTATGTATCTTGGTGAATCATAAGTTGAATCAAACCCTCCCAAACAAAACAAAATGCTAATTCAATTCTAGGCTTCATCCAGGGTAGTAGTACAGAGTTGCTATCAAGAAAAGTTATAATTTCTCTTTAATCTGTATTAGTAAAATCACATCTAAAACACTGAATCCAGTTCTGGGCGTTACATTTTAGGAAGGACCCTGACAAACTGGACAATGTTCAGGGAAGAACTACCAACATGATAAAGGGCCTAAAGAGAATTAAAAGAGAGGGAATTAAAAGAAAAAAAACTTATGAGGAATGGTTGAAGGCCTGGAGAAAAAGTCTATGAGAAGACTTGATAGTGGTCTTCAAATACAGTATGTAGAAAGTAGGACATAATTATTCAGAGTAGTTTCAAAAGCAAGACAAGGAACAATGCTTTCTTAAATTACAAAGAAGCAGAATTTCAGTGGAATATCAGGAAAATCTGTAAATGCTACAAGCTACGCAACAATGGAACATACTGCCTTGGGAGGGAGTAGACTATCCCTTACTGGAGATGTTTACACAAACCTGGATGGCTTTCCTTCAAAGATGCTGTACTACCAAATTCCCACACTGGGCAGGGAGGTGAACTAGATTATCTCTAAGGTCCCTCCCAACCTTCCATTTTATTGTTACAGAATTTTATTGAGGAAAATACCTAGGAAATTCACTGAAATTCATTTCAATTTCTAGGAGACAAATCACTGAATAGAGTCTATCCATAAAATCATTAAATCTTGTGTTCTTTTTTCACAAATCTGAAACTGCCTGTCAATCAGGACTTGTACATTTATTTTGCCTGTACTTTCCTTGTTCCAGAATATGTAATTCATTCCTGTTTCAAGATTTGCCTGATAAAATTCAATCCTGACAAGACTGAATTTCATCAATATATTAGTGACATTTCACCTCAAATTTCCCAGACAAGTTTTCCCCATAGGTTACATATAGTTGTTAAACAAATACATTGGAACATTAATGGACCCTATAGTATAAATATCCAGTAATCAGGCATAAGGATCCCAACATTACTTTCTTTTTTTAAAAAGTAATTTTATTAAAGATTATAATTACAATAGTAAACTAATACAAACTAAAAGAAAGATAGAAAAATAGAAAGAGTAAAAGGTACAAAGAGAAAAAAACAGGAAAGACTTAATAGAAATAAAAAAAGAAAATATAGTAAAGAAAAGAAATATATAAAGAAGTGACTCCCAACCGTCTTCACAAGTATAAACAATTTTAGTAATTCTTCACCTCCTCTTAAATTACAATAAATGACCTCTTCTTTCCATATCCCATCTCTTATCTATAAACAAATTCATAAAGCATCATAATTTGGTGTCAGCAAAAGTCCATTAAGGGTTACCAAAAGTAACAACATATCTATTTTGACCTCAATCAGATAAACCAACCTTATATTCCTTCCTTTTATTTCTAACAATCTTAATCTTTAGTCCCTTCAAATAACGTTGTAGAACTTTTCATTTCTCCTTTGTCCCTTCTCATGAGATTCTTCAAAGCTTTAAGAAGTCTCTTTTGTAAGCCCAATATAGAAAAATTATCCAGGTCACTCTCTTGGTTTATTGTTTGTATATCCCTTTTAATTATTATTAAAACATCCAGTTTCTTTTGTATGCCTAGTGTACAATGACATTTTTCCATGTCATTCTTGCAGCCTGTCATTGTAAGTCCACTTTCAATTCAGTCTCTGTCTTGTCAGGTAAAACCTATTCCTCTCCCATAACATCGTTTAGACACAGACTATCCACAGAGGCAGATATCTGTTGACATTGTTAATATTAATTTCTGACTCGTTTTTTCAAAAATATCCCTCAATATTTCCAGTGTTAGAATATTTTGTGACATTCTGTAACTGTTAGTCAAGTTTGTGTTCTTTTCCTTTAATTGAAATCCTTATTTCCCTCTAGTGTTCAATTTTTAAAAACTTATCTTATTTCTTGTAAAAAAAATCAAAACAAAAGCATTTTCCCACAGGAAGGATTCTTTAAAATTAATTCCAAAATCTTATTTCAAATTTATCTGGACCCTTAGTCCTTTTGTAACTTTTTAAAATGAAAGTTTTAATCAACCTTTTGCTGTTTATTAAACAAACAAAAAAAAGTTTTTAAGCTTGTAGTTAAATTTTTCTTTCATTAAATATTGAAGGCAGATTCACACGGTGTTTTCAGACTTCTTGATCCAAAGGTTTCTAATAGCTGAAAAGTAGTTAATAAGCAATTTCTGAAAGTGATTAGAAAAGGAAGTATGCCAACTTAATGTCCTTTTAAAGGTACTGACCCCGATTTGAGCAAGATGGCTATTCCTTGTCTCCCAGAGCTCTAAACCCACCAGAGACCACTGTCTTGCAGTCTCCTCATGAGGTGCAACTATCTGGAGCACTTGTGGGCTATCTCCCATCCTCTTTTTGTCCAGAGAAGTTCAAAGAGTTGGGCTACTTTTCACCTTTTATTCCACTTTTTGCAGAGCCATCTCCAGTCCACCATTTCTTCCTCCAGAAGTCCCATTACTTTCTAAAACAGTTCTTCAGAATTGAACCTCTGTAGCACACAGCTACAACACAAGGAATCTATCTTAAAGCACACCATACTTGATAGTACAGAAATCTGCTAAAATAGCCAAAAGCAAAATCACACTTTCCATCCCTCTCTGGCATTTGTTTTCCTGATACTTTGTATCAGCATTACCGAAGTAGTTTTTGTGCCAAATCTAAAAGATCAGACTAAATTAATCCAAATAATCAGACTCATTTAGGAATTCCTGAAATTGAAAGGACGCTAACCCTCAATTATTTTTCCACAGAGCTTGCTGTTAGTTGAAATTAATT